AGAATTGTCACATTCATACTGCGAAGCATTGGTAAATTATTCGAGTGAGTAAACAAAATTTCAACTACTAAATTTCGAGAAACCTGAAGTACAGTTTGATCCTGATTCAAATCCTCAACCATCTTTCAAAATTCACGTTCGAGTAGCCGAATTTACCAGGCGATACAAAAGGTCCAATTGTATTGCACAAGGCATTTCATCATCCAATTTTGCGAAATGCTGCAAAAGGAGCAAATTGATTGTAATTTCGTGAAGATTTCGATTCATCAATGAAATTTTTGCATTGTATAAAACCAGGAGATCGTTTTAGGGATTTTGTATAGCAATTTATGCTCAAAGTCATTTTTAACATTCCTGAAGAGGTCGACCCACGGAAGATTATCCCGTGAACAGATGTTTTTTTATTAATAGTAAGCGAACCCAAACAAAAGATCTTGGTGATTATTTCTCATTAATTGTAAAATGAGATTTCAAGTTTATTGATACCATTCTTTTGTGTGTCAAATTTTAGCTAGCATATGTAGCATAGCAGATGTACAAGTTTACATTAGTATTTATTTGAGAGTGACCAAACCAGAGCTTCAGGTTTTGATTTTCAGATTATAAGGGGAAATAAAAATTACGCTAAGTAAAAGTAATTAAAAGTTTATTCATTACTGAGCTAGCCGTGGTATTAATTATTTGATTACAAACAAAATTGATTGTTACAGTGGCGTAGAGAGTAAAACTTATTTTAGGCAAGTGAAGCTTCCATTTTTTTTTAATACTGCTGTATGTCAAAAAGTGGTTTTCATTAATTATTGCGAATAATTCTTCATCAATTAGATATAGTGACACAAAATTCAATATTCAATTTGAAACTCACCGTCGCGTCGGAGACACGTTAAAATAGCGACTGAAATAATAGCAAGTCGATGCATGTCTCCTCCGTATGATTTATTGTAGTGCAAATCGCGTCACAGTAAAAAGATTACTGTTTTTTTGTCACTGCGATTGTTGAATCCCAATTGGGTTTACTTGTATTTGAAACTATAATTTCTATCTTTGCCAGTAAACAATCGCGTGATAAAAAATCGCAAGTGGAGACCTAGCCTTATAGCGACACTGATGCGGAAAATTATAGAACAGGACTGTAGATTAGAACTTTTCCGACGGTACAATCCTTCGGTGAATCAAAATCTCTGGCCGTATTTTTTTCAATTTTTTTTTATTGATTTCCAGGTGTGCAACTTTCCAAATTTTGCGATAATAATAAAAATAATAATATTGCCTTTATTGAAGAGGAAAACAGAAAAAATAAACAAAGGACTTCCAAGCAAGGGCGAAGTTCGGCGCAGCAGAAAAAACTGCTGCCTGATAAAGCGCCAATTTGAAATATCTCATCAAAATCGATACGTTACCTGAATTATACTTTTAAATCAATAAATACTGTCACATACAGGTAACACATCGTCTGCTTTATTAACGAGCTCCTAGCGAGTTTATAATTTTGCGGTGTCTGTCCCTCCGTCCGTCCGTCCGTTAGCACGATAACTCATAAACGAATGGACTGATTACGATGAAATTTTGCAGGTGGATTCTTTATCAAATTTGTAGATCGGAGTTCGTGAATTGGCAATGTAGACCAAAAAATAAAGTAGGCCCTTTTGACATCTCCGTTAGTTATGAACCGAATTGCATGAAATTCAATATGCGCATAGCTTTAGCCATATAAAACACAATTCCAAAAGTTGAGCATAATCGATCAGCATTCACAGTGCCCTTTGCGCATCTCGACCATTTACAGACCGAATTGCAAACTTTCTTATTTATGAAGGTATTTAAATGAAATTTGATACATCGCCACTTGGAATAAAAGCAAATTTAACGCCAGTTTCAAAATTTGGTTTTGCGCATGCGCAGTGCCAACTTCCTTATTTATGGAGGCAATTAAATAAAATTTGATACATAGCCACTTGGAATAAAAGCAAATTTAACGCCAGTTTCAAAATTTGGTTTTGCGCATGCGCAGTGCCAACTTTCTTATTTATGGAGGGATTTAAATAAAATTTGATACATAGCCGCTTGGAATAAAAGCAAGTGTAGCGCCATTTTCCAAATTTGGTTTTGTGTAGGATGTGCAGTGCGAACTTTCTTATTTATGGAAGCAATTAAATGAAATTTCATACATATACACTTTAAATAAAAGCAAAACTAACATCAGGTTTAAAATTTGGTTTTGCACATGCTATAGCCATACCCAGGAGCTCGTTTGCTATATTTGTTTAATTTACTTATGTTGCAAACGTTATAGGTTACAATTTAAATAAAATAAACAATTTTATGCAAGTTTCGAATCCTAACTGAAAACTCTATCTTAAATTTAATACACAATTTGAACGAATACCTATTCACTGTAACGTTTGATTGCAATTTTTATATACATGGTAATTAAAAAATATATATTCCATCTCAACTTTCATTTTTAGTGTGAAAAGTGCGAAAGTTCTCCTCGTATCTCCCCTTGCTTTTACTGTTGCGTCTTGGGTGGGGTTGCAGTGGAGAATTGAACGTTGGGACGCGAACTCTGGAAAAAACACCTTCAAAATGACCTTTCCTCTCTTAAAAAATCCAAAATGGCATACGGTCACGATCTTGG